TATTAGACTTGCTGTTTGCTTAGAATACGTTGCATCTTTCTATTGGTAGATACATAAAAACAAGCAAGCTTTACATTTATAGAATGTAAAGTGACAGCAGGAATGGGCATATAACTGGACAGCCTAATGTCTTACTATGTTATCCTGTATATTGATCATAATGTTAGTTCCATACTTGACAGGAAGGTTTATAATTTATGTTAAACAATAATTACACAATACATAAGATACCAACATGAACATGTGGCCAATATTTTCTAACACAACCTGGCACAGCCACCATTCTCATTCCACATGCAAATCACAATATAGCATCATTAGTGTATATAGGGCAGTGGTTATTAAACTTTGCAGCTCTGCAATTCCCTAAAATGGAAATTGAGTTTTTATGACTACCTCAATAAATGAAATCATTGGTCATATTGATGTTGGGATTGGGCAAAAATATTTTTTTAAAAATTTAGTCTATATATCATAGGATTATCATACTCTGAAATACAACTGTCCTTTGCAGGCTTGCACAAACAAAATGACAGCCAAAGATCAAAGTGACTTTTGACAATGCTCTTGCTTTGCTTGCCCTGGCAAAGGAGGAGCATTGTCAAAACTTGCTCCTGTTCTGGTTGGGCAAACATGCAGCTGGATTGCAAAGGCAAAGCCCATAGGGAGTTTTAGCAGTGCTTGAACTTTACCTGCACAAGTCTGAACAGGTAATGAACATTCTGACATCTTTCTAAATTGCTTTTGACCTGTTAGGGAAGCAGTCTGAGAATTTCTGCTACAGAATATAACAGGACTTCTTTGCACTAACAAATGTTGCATGTCTTCAAATAATAGAACAGCAATCAGAAGTCAAGGGAGTCTGTTTTAGTTTTGCAGAAGCAAAATAATCCTGGTTGACATCCTGAAACTTGCCTTTGTGGTCACTGTCCTGGCTCTTTCTCACACTAGAACACCTACACAGAGTTTGAATCAGATACATACAGATTCCACTGCAAATTTACTTTATGGGAAAGACAAATTAAAAAATTCAAAACTTAATACAGATGGAAGATTACAAATTTCAAGAAAAACCCTAACATTTTTTGAAAGATAAATTGGTTGCATTATTGGGAAACTACATATACCTAAATAACTGAAACCAATTAAATGCACATAATACTTTCTATGACTGGAGCAAGACTTAGCAAGCGGGCAATTTTCAATACACCATGCATTTATGGAACAGAGGTAGCACAGTAGGCTGTTTAGCAAAAGTTATATTTCATGAAAACAGTTAATAAAGTTTACATAAACTATTTTGTAAAGACTTGCTTTAAAACACTTTATATTTTATTAGGACACTATTCTATATTCTTATTGTAATTTCATTTAGAATTCATTTGGATTTATTGCAGACCGGACATGCATAATGTCCTTACATTCCTACAGCCCAATATTAACTGCAGTTTAACACTATTACTTCAGTGTAAGCTCCTTTAAGATGCACAGTACTTTAGTTTGAGTAAGGAAGCTTAGGATGTGATCCACAAATCAGAAATAAACATGAGAGTAATTTCATAAATATCCATATATAATTTAACCCTGAATAAACTCACTATTTATGTGATGAACTTGATCCTAAACACTCTGGTTCTTAAACAGAATACTTGCATTGTAATTTCATTTTTCATGCCTAGGGTGACTTTTGCTCATGCTGAAAATAATATAATTCTTGCAGAATTTCTTATATTGGCTTAAAGTAAGAAAAAGCAAGACAAAACTGTAAGAGTTTATGAATATATTATGGAACCAAAATAACTTCCTTATGAAGCCGCATGAATAAACATTTCAATTTTTAACAAAAAATCCTATACAGGTAGTCCTCGACTTATGACAATTGAGTCCAACATTTATGTTGTTACGTTAGATATTGAGTTTTGTTCCATTTTACAACCTTTCTTGCCACAGTTGTTAAATGAATCACTGCAATTGATAAGTTAGTAATCCAGTTGTTAAATGAATCTGGCTTCCCCACTGACACTGTCAAATGATTGCAAAAGGTGATCACATGACCTTGGGACACAGCAATGGTCTTAAGTATGAACCAGCATCTGAATTTTGATCACATGGCCATGGGGATGCTACAAAGGAACTGTGAAAAATGGTCATAAGCCACTTTTTTTCAATGCCATTGTAACTTTGAATGGTCACTAAATGAACTATTGTAAGTCAAGGTAAAGACTACCTGTACTGTATATTTTCAAATATGAACAATTTGGGATCAAAACTTCAATCAATTGGCACGTCTTACTGCAAATTGCAGCTTGCCTCTTTAACTGTACTTCTGTATATTCTGAAAGCAGGTCTATTGCTCCCCAGATGTATACGCAAGAGGTATCACACATGAACCTAAGTCTAATATAGTATACAGAAGCACCAATTGCTTTTAATATATTCCCTCAAAATTACATAATCATCACCCAAGGCAAAGCATAAGAAGTTACTTCTTTCCAAAGGTGCATTTATGAATATCATAAAGACAGCCTACATTACAATGTATTATCATTTAACGCATACCTAGTGCCCATAAATCAGAAATATCAGTAAATCTTGGGGAGGGGGAGCGGAGAGGGGGAGAAGCTTCAAAATGCTCACAATCTTCTCTCCAACCCACCCTCAAAACCCAGTGTGTTTCTGTAGGCTAGACTCTTCCTTTAAATGCAAGGAACAACTGGGGAGAGAGCAAATTTTGTGGCCACACTATTACAGAAAACACAACAGCACTTAACATTCTTAATAGTATGGATTCCTACTACAATAAGACGACTAGGTGATTATACATATAATTCTGATCTCTTATGCAACATAGCTGAAATTGAACAAATATGGGTGGGGCTATTTTTTCCTCTATAAATAGAACTCCAAATACTACTCTCCACATAAATATTAGCTATGCTCAATAGGAAAGCATGTAGACATCTTGTTACTAGTATTACATGGCTGCCTGCTATTCAATTACAGAACTGTGTGAAGGCTATCAAACGTCATTGTAGTGTCTAAAAACAATACAAGTACATGTATAGGAATGCTGTATTACTTTCCTATGAAGCTCTCTCCTCTCAAGAGATAGATAATGGAAACTGTTCTTCTACACTTACCATGTTACAAATTGAAGTATGCACACCCTAATGATTCATAGAAACAAGTTTTTAAATTATGCCTAAACAGTAAGAAAAAAATCAAGCATTGTTCAAATAAACTTTCTTGGACTACTTGTCACTTTTGCAAAACGTAAGTGTTCAACGAAGTATGAAAACCCCTGCAGACTTGTTTATAAAATACTAAAGAATTCAATTCTATTTGGAAAAAAAAAATCAAATATAGTAATTTGAAAAGGACACTATTTTCATTGTTAGTATTTAAAGTTGTTTCAGTACTTCATCCAGACCACACCCTGCATTATTCTCTCCTCTCTTTTCCTGTAATAGGTCTAAACTCCAGTAAAGTAAAAGTAAAATTAACATCTTTCAGACAATATAATTTTAAAGATACTATTTTCAAAAGTACATTTGAATATATCATAAACATAACCTGAACAATTGCAGTTTCAAGAAGTGATGCAAAGAAAGCTAATCAGCAATTGAGAACCTAAAGCAATAATTTGCCTGCTATTCTAAGTAAATTTGCAAGGTAATAAATCCCAATGAATTTAGTTAATGATGTCTCTCAATTATGTTAGAGGCTAAACTATTAATACAGGTAAAGGTTATTGTTGCTCTAAACTGATCAGCTTAATCAACATATTAAGAGTAAAAATTTTTGCATTGCCAGAAAGACAGTCTCGTGTTTTAATTGTTTAAATTAAAACCAAAGAGCTCCATTATCCGTTAGAACCAGGAATAGTGACAGCTATTCTAATCACTCCTGCATTCCTTTCTTTCCATTATCCAATTCTAGTGTCATTTCTCCAGAACATTAAGCAAGCTTTTTTTTGAAGAGAGATGGCAGCAGCTTAGTCAGACTGCATCCCCCACTCTTCTCTCAAGGACCAGAGATATGGGGGAAAGAATTATACAAAAAAAAAAAAAAAAGCAGGCATCCCTGTACTGACAGATTGATAAAGTTTTCAAAGGCTTAAAGTGGCCTTTAAGCTTTTGAAAACTTCATGGCGTCCAACTTGGATCACGAAGATTCTGGACAGCATCTCCCATTATCCCTGCCAGCTTAGTAATCGAGAAAAATGGGTGTCTCAATACCTTGCAAATACCTTGGGAATAGTTTTTCTTTTTTAAATTTCAGCTAGGATTGCATAAATTATGTTGCATCCATCATGAAGTTGGTCTTTAAGCTTTTGAAAACTTAATGGCCTCCAACTTGGATCATGAAGCTACTGGACAGCATCTCCCATCATCCCTGCCAGCTTGGTAATCGAGAAAAACTGGGGTCTCAATACCCTGCAAATGTCTTGGGTATAATTTATTGCGCAGCTTGGATTGTATAAACCATGCTGCATTCATCCTAAAGGCACCCAGTCTTCAAAGCCAAGACTTTCTGCATCTTCGCACCTGACCCCGGCCATTGACAAACAGTACCTTATTTAATATGGGATAATATTTGTAGCTCGGGGGTTGACATGAGGGTCTTCGAGCTGGCTTATTTTCTTGCAGACGTTTCATTACCCAAACTAGGTAATATCAGTGCTAGTTAAACAGCACCGTCTTTCTTACTTGCTGAAAAAATAAGGAACCATTCCCTGAGCCCCATCATGTGGTCTGGGATTTAAGCCCATCCCGAAGGTGGGAGGAAGGAAAAGGCATTGGGGGGGGGGGAGAGTTAAAAATAAATAAATTAAAAAGCTATTTCAGCCACCTCCCCGAAAACTCAAGGGGCCGCTCCAAAGATGCCACCACCCGCGGGAGGTGGGAGAGCCAGCATGGGACGGAGGGAGAAGAGAAGGAAAGCAAAGGCCCGGGATGGCCTCGCAAGCACCAGGGGTCATTCGCGACGCCGCATTTTACCTTCCGCCACGTCCTCGTCGATCGCCCCCTTCACCTGCGAGAAGCACCACTGGAAATCGTTGCCGCCGCCGGCGACGCCTCCGCCGCCGCCGGCCACCCCTGCTGGAGATGAAAAGCGCCGTGAGCGCGGACCGTGCCGGCCAAACCTCAGCTTCTCCGCCCGCCCAGGAGGCCCGGATGCCGGCCCGGCCTTGCGAGCTGTCCTCGGAACCGCTACGGCCTCCGCTTGACCCTCTCCAAAGGCCACCCTGCGGGCCCCGGGCCTGCCTCCGCCCGCCAAGACAAGGGCGGCCGCCGCTGCCTCCGTGACCACCAGCAGCAGCGCCGCCGCCGCCGCCACCACGCGTGCCCCTTACCTGCCATGTTGCGCGGCGTGTGGGCTGGCGGAGACCCGCCGGCTGCAAAAGCCCGCGGAACGGAAGAATCAACGGGGACGGATGGGGAAGCCGCTACAAGCGCCTCTTTCGCCGCCGCTTCTGCTGCTGCTGCTGCTGGTGGAGCTGCTGGTGCTGCGGCTGCCGCCACAGCCAGCGCCGACGCCGCCGGAGGTTCGGGGGTTTCAAAATGGCGCCCATTGCCGGTCAGCCTGATCCGGTGACGTCATCCTCCTGCCAGCCTCCGCCGGCCGGGAAAGGACAAGCCCCGGGATGAAGCTCTCGGGAAGTTTCACGCCGGCCTCGATGGCCGGAAGGTGGGAGAGAGAGAGAAAGAGAGAGAGAGAGAGAGGTTCAGGGCTTGGAGGCTGAGGCTGCCAGCCTTGCCGTCCCGCGCGGGCTGAGGCGGCTTCCCCCGCGGAGCCACGGAAGGAAGCTCAGGCGCCTTTTCGCGAACCTCGAGGACGCCGACTTCACGCCCGGCAAATCTCGCCCGCCCGGAGTCCACGGGACTTGGGATCGGCCAAGGGGCGGGGCTGCCTTTTGGACCCGCCCCCTTAGAGCTCAAACTGGTCTCGTTGCCGTAGGAGGCGGTGGGGCGTGAGGTGGAGGGACGGTTGGCAGTGTGGAGGATTGTCTGTTATGGATTGGCCGCGTTTACACCCCCCCCATCCCCCATTTCTTATGGCGGGGCTTCAGCTTTTGAAGCTGCGGGGCTGCCGGAAGGGAACAAATCCCCTCACCCAACGTTCAGAACGGCCTTTATTAGTCGATTCCGGGTAACTTCATGAATCTCTTTTCTCTTCCTGGCAACGCTTTTTTGCCATCCTTGCCTTCGTGAGTCCATATTTTGGACAGAGAGAACGGCTGGTTTGAAAGGGGGTTAAAGAGGTTATCTATGTCAAAATTGAACATCCCTCTCTCAACAGAAGGGGAAGGATACGACATCATCCAGTCTACAACACAGTCCTTTCAACGGTTCCAAGGAGGCTCCACGCCCATTTGCACCACTCAGGTGATCCTGACGACACCGATAAACCTGCAGGTGGCTTTAATGACTGGCTAAAAGAATAAAAATGACAAGCTGTCTGCAAGGAGCAGAAACCCTTCCGTTACCCACCATCCAGTCAGAGCTGAAGAAGCTTCTTGGATGAGAAGCTAAATGTCTTCAAGGGAAAAAACAACAACCAAGGAAGTCCAATTGCTTCTTGGGGGAAAAAGAAAAAAAAAAGCACCTTTGGGATTGCCTTCGTGGATGCTTCCTTCCCCAATTTCCCAGCCCAACCTAAACCTTGTGATTCTCTGGATCTCTTCCAGCATCTCTGATTTTGCTCCGTTTCTGAGACTATAAAGTTTGCCAGGTGCTGCCATCTGCTGAGGCTGCCTTTTTTTTAAGCAACAAGCAAAATAGAAATGACTATGGAGAGTCTCAGTCATCCGGGTCATGGTTGTCCCGAAGGTGGGGACAGACCACAGACCATGACCCAGATGACTGAGACTCTCCATAGTCATTTCTATTTTTCTTGTTGCTAATAGAATCTCCCTATCCAGAGGACGGATATGGCATCATCTATTTCCAGTGTACAACACAATCCTTTCAACAGTACTAAGAAGGCTCCACGCCCATTTGATCTACTCAGGTGATCCTGATGACATAGATAAACCTCCAGTGACTCTCTAAAACAGTGGTTTTCAACCTGTGGGTCGGGACGGCTTTGGGGGTCGAATGACCCTTTCACAGGAGTCGCCTAAGACCATCGGAAAACACATATTTTCAATGGTTTTAGGAATAATTTTATTGTTGGGGGTCACCACAACATGAGGAACTGTATTAAAGGGTCGCAGCATTAGGAAGGTTGAGAGCCACTGCTCTAAAAGAATGCAAATGACCAGCAGTCTGCAAGGAGTATAAATCTTTCTATTCCTCCAATCAGAGCTGAAGAAGCTTCTTAGGGGAGAAGCAAAATGTCTTCAAAGAAAAAACAAGGAAGTCCGGTTGCCTATTGAAAATAGCACCTTTGGGACAAGCAAAATACAAGATCTTCAAAGATGCTCCTTTAAATCCAAATGCTGCCGTGCTTGGGGATTACATGGCTGCATCTGTGTGGTTTTCTGGGCAACAATGAAAGGGTTTTGCGGCATTATTTTTATTATTTATATATCTTTTCTTTTGTCTGTGTGTGTGTCTTCAAATTAGTCCACGAGTCTTGTGGGCAAGTCCATGTGGTTTCTTGGCAACACTGTTCAGAAGTGCTTTGCCATTCTTCTAGGATCCAAGTGCTTAGACATTTCAATCAATCTTGCTTTAGCATTTGAGCAGCATAAGCTGAAAATGGAAAATTAATCACAAAGTTATATTTCTGTATTATAAAATGGTATTCTTAATAACTGATCTATGCATTTCTACAAAACATCTGAGGTTAAGATTTGTGAAGTAAGTACGAGGTATACACAATGTCTTTATCAGAAAATATCTGACATTAAGATCTGTAAACTAAAAATTAGTATTTAATGTTCATAGACTTATATAGAAGTTTATGTTATAAAATAGCCACATGCTTAAAGTTGATAAAACTAAGAGTTACAGATAAGTAGGTCTATAGCTCTATAAAACTAACTATATACAGGTAGTCTTCGACGAATGACCACAATTGAGCCCAAAATTTCTTTTGCTAAGTGAGACATTTCTTAAGCGAGTTTTGCCCCATTTTATGATCTTTCTTGACACAGTTAAGGGAATTAGTACAGTAGATAAGTTAGTAACACGGTTGTTAAGTGAGGCTGGCTTCCCATTGATTTTGCTTCTCAGAAGGTGATCACATGATCCTGGGACACTGCAATCATCATAAATATGAACAAGTTACCAAGTGCTCAGTTTTGATCATGTGATCATGGGGAAGTGGCAGTGATTGTAAGTGTGAAAAATGGTCGTAAGTCGTTTTTTCAGTGCTGTTTTAAGTGAACTGTTGTAAGTCGACTACCTGTATAAATAGGTCTATAACTCTATACGTTAGTTCTTCGGGTTTGAAAGACACACATCGTGCAGTTTATCTGTGGACAATGAGGTGCCTCTGCAGGCCCAGTCTGGAGAGGCAGAATCTAGCATGATGGGAACACTGGAAGTCCATTGTTGTAGTAACTGGGTGTTATTCTGTTATTCCTCTCATGGGTTTCTATCAGTTTTGGTAGTGCCTGTCTTCAAAGCCACTGAAGATAGCACAGGGCCAGTGGCTTAGGGTCTCTTTCATTGCATCTTGTAGCGCTTGTGTGCTCAATCTTTCTTCCCAGACTCCAGTGTACTATAGAGTATGGATGTAAAACTCATGGCATCATGTTGCCATCACGTGACGTTTTGTGACATTTTCCCCATTTGTGGAACTGGGGTGGGCATGGCCTGCGCATGACGCATCTGGCCCGCGGGCTGTCAGTTTGACCCCCCTTATATAGAGTACCTGGCAAGTGATAACACGTGCCAACCATTTGCTCTGGGATCATAACATTTATTAGTCTAATCAAAGCCCTAAAGTAATATTTAAACAAGTTAAAGTAATAACTATGTCTTTCTTAGATTTTAAACTATAAATGCAAATATCCAAGAACTAAGATCAAAATGGAAATACAGGTAGTTCTCAAGTTACAACAGTTATTTTAGTGACTGTTCAAAATTACGACAGTGAAAAAAGTGACTTATGACCACTTTTCACATATACGACCATTGCTCATGATCACATGATCAAAATTTGGATGTTTAGCGACTGGTTCATATTTATGACAGTCACAGTGTCCTGGGGTCAAGTGATGACCTTTTGCGACCTTCTAACAAGCAAAGTCAATGGGGAAGCCAGATTCACCTAACAACTATGTTATTAACAATGTTTCATTTAACAACTGTCGTAAAAGGTTGCAAAAAGGGGCAAAACTTACTTAACAAATGTCTCACTTAACAATGTAAATTTTGGGGTCAGTTGTGGCTGTAAGTTGAAAACTACCTGTACTGACTATTTCTGATCCAATTACTGTATTTTTCAGTGTATAAGATGCACTTCCCACCCCCTCAAAAGTGGGTGGAAATGTCTGTGTGTCTTATACAGAGAATGTTGCTGAAGCCCCGCCCATCCTCCCTACCTCCCAGCAATTTGCCTCCTTGCAGCAAACAGCAAACAGCCTGGTCAGTTGCAGTACAGCCTGATTTAGCATGAGCTGCTGATTGGCAGTTGGATCAGCCTCTTGGAATACCGCCTATCAGATGTTCCAGGCTGCGGGGATCGCCGCTGCCCATTGCCACTGCCTTCGCACCCCATTTTCAGCGTCTGCACATCCCATTTTCGGCCTCCGTGTGCCCCCTTTTCAGCCTCCGTGCGTCCCATTTTCAACCTCCACATGCCCCATTTTCTGTGGGGATCGCTGCCACCACCTGGAACAGGCCAAAAACAGGACACACGAAGGCCGAAAACAGGACACGTGGAGGCCGAAAACAGGACGTGACGATGCCAAAAATGGGGTGCACAGAGGTGACGATGGGTGGCAGCGGTGATGGGTGGTGATCCCCGCAGCCTGGAATATCTGATAGGCGGTATTCCGGGAGGCCAATCCAACCGCCAATCAGCTGCTTGTACTAAATCAGGCTGTGCTGAAGCTGACCAGGCTGTTTGCTGTTTGCTGCAAGGAGGCAAATTGCTGAAAGGCAAAGGCAGATTTTTTCCCCTTGTTTTCCTCCCCAAAAGCTGGGTGTGTCTTATAGTCCAGAGCGTATTATAGTCTAAAAAATATGGTAATTGTTCCTGGCTATCAGGTTCCTCTGTATTTGATGTGCTGCTTCAGAGAACTTAGTTGCATTGTGGGTAATGGAAAAGTCCTTGTTCGGAAGTTGGCATTAAAATGTGTTGACGCTCAGGCCCTTTTGCCTTTTTGTTTTAGTGTAGTGTTTATGGGAAACAATAATTCTAATCCTGCCTTAACCAAAACCAGATGGTTGACTTTCAGCCTGCCACTGTTTCTCAGCCCTAGAAAGAAGGCAAGGGTTAACTGCTTGTGAAAAATGCTGCTAAGAAAACTGTATGGACAATTGTATCTGGAGTCAAGACTGACTCACCTCCCCACCACTCCAAACCAAAAAAAAAAAAAAAAAATTAGCTAGAAAGCAGATACTATTATAAACCTACAACTCTCATTCTTAAAACAGTTTGGGCCTCTGATCAATCTCTGTTCATTTTGCATTCCTTTATGGCAGTTTTAATCTGACTATATCCTATACCCTATTATCATAAAGTCAATAGGCAGGAGATAATCCATTTAGAGTTTTTTTTTCCTTTGAAGTTTTCTTTCATGTTGGTAATGTCCACTAGCAATTAGTGGGGCTAATTATACTGGTAAAGAGATAATCTGAAGCTAAGTATGGATGTCCAGACCCCAGCCTCCATCACCTTCTGTATGCCTGCCTCCTTATTTCAACATTTGAACTGTTGCAAGGTATTTAATAAACAACA